CCTGTTCACCGTAGAGACAATACTATCCCAGCTGATCCTGTCGAACGCTGAGACTATCCTTGCAGTGACGAGCTACTCCCAGCAGCAATGCAACAACTTCTTAGAGGCTAACATAACTGTTCAATTATGTTCCTATTCCATTGATGCCACAAACTGCTGGCTTGCAGCATGGTAAGAAAATGACCTTCTGCAATTTATCATGGTCATCCCTCCTCGCAGCTACTTGGCTTGGCTTGGCTTGGAACTCTATCAAGATTAGCCGAACTGGAACATGGCAGCTCCAAGACGTGTTTGCGGGGGTTTGGGCCAACCTGTCAGCAATCAAGGCAAGTCAGTTGCACATTGTCGTCAGCTGCATTGCACCCGGTGTGAACTATAAACAACTCCAAAGTGCTATTCAACGACTTGCGAAGCCGGAGGAATAACCCAAGGACGTTTCTGGTTTCAGGACATTAAATCCAACAAGATGATATCCATTGCATCCTGGGAACCGTAAGTACACTGTGCCCGTTGTGTGTAAGACTGCCCAGAGGAGACTTGTCCGTGCAATGCAGACCACCTGCAGATGAATGCCGGCAGATCTACCATCTTCCCCCAAACGCACCACACCCTTATCATGACTGACTGTATCATACCGACGGGCCTGGCTCGGTTGGTACACCCATGAACTGTTGAAATGCAGACGTGAGCTTGAATTCAGATGGAACTTGTTGAATGAATTTCTGAATTGCCTGGGGCCAGTCACTTCCACAGTGATATCTCAAGGGCATTGCCCTTTATAAAAAATAAAAAATAAAAAATAAAAAATAAAAATCTGAATTATCTGGGGCCAGTCAGTTCCACTATGTTATCTCAAGCCCATTCCCCTTTAAAAAAAAAAAAAAAAAAACCTGGGGCCAGTCAGTTCCACGATGATATCTCAAGGCCATTGCCCTTCAGAAAATATAAAAAAGAAGAATTAGAAGAAGAAGATAGATGAACCGGTTTTCACCTTCGCAGAGGCAGATGCAGATCCCGGGGTTTGATCCCCAGACCTAACCTCACCCATGTACAGTATCGAGCTGACCCCTGAGTATTTGAACCCGTAACCTGTGTATTCGCAAACAGTTGGTAGGCTGTTTTAGGTCCGTAGGTTGTAGGGGATTCGATCTGTAGACCTGTCGAGTAGAGGTCTTAGACAGTTCCAGAAGCCATAGCTGTAGATATCCCGAAGGGTCAAAGTTGTAGCTGCTACAGCCCTGAAGAGTCAAGGTCGTAGCTGCTACAGTACTGAAAGGCCAAGTCCACGGTCTTCCGGAAGGTCCGGAAGAGAGAATTTAAAGAATTAATGAAGATATATCAAAAGACAACATATCTATGTAATTAACATGATTCAATAGATTCAAGCATTATTTCTTTTCTATTATTGAGGATGAATGTTCTCTAATTTTCTATTCAATTTTCTATTATTTTTAAATTGTATTATTTGACAATTAAATCCGAATATAATAATAAACAATAAGATATGTAATATACAAAAATATACAATAAGATATGTAATAACAAAAGAATATAGATAGACAATAATACCTATATTATATATATAATACCTATAGATAATACCTCTTTTGTGTTAATTTATTTATATTTAATATTCAAAAACATAGAGTAGGATTTTTAGTGATTTATTAAAATGACACTTTTTTAATTAAACCATCCATAGCTCCCAGTCTCACTTTGCACAGTCAGCAAGTACCAAGGGGGACTGTGTGCACCATGGGCCCGGTGGAAAGAGGCAGACCAACGAGTTACAGAAGTATAAATCAAGAGGCCGCGCACAGCCATTGATTCATTCCTGCGGAAGCCATGTGGAAGCGCTGCCACGGTGACTTGTGCGAGGTGGTCTGCAGAGGAGCCTGAAGTCCAAGTGGGCTGAAGGGAGTTAGTGCAGCCATAGCTGCTTGTAGATTAGTGTTAGCTGGCGGCCATAGCTGCCGTAGGTTAGTGATAGGTGTGTATTCGTGTGTGTGCAGAGTGTGTGTGCAGAGTGTGTGTGGGGTATCCAGGGTGATCCGGAGTTGAAGTGTGAAGCGAACAGTGTTGTTGGACACAGTCACAAGAGTTGCGATGTGTGGGTGCTGATGCACCATAGCCTGTTGAAGCGAGCTTATATCTGAACTGTGTCTTGGTTTCCCTATCTTCGAGCTTTGAGTTGGGCGCTATGCGCCAGTGTGAATCACCATCTGTTTGTATGCATGTGAAGTGACGAAGTATGCGAGTCTGATTGCATAATCATATATTCATGATCAAGGTGAGTTCTGATGGGGGGAAGAAGAAAAAGAAACGGAAAACAGAAAATATCTCATATACATTCATGATCAAGGTGAGTTACGCTAGGGGGGAAACAGTAGTAACCCTCTACTTGTTACGAACAAGGGCAAGGCAGTGCCGCAATGCTGTGCTGCTACATCACATACATGATCTCAAGTCTTTGGGCCTCACTGCACACGAAACAAAAAAGGGACAAGTGAATGAGCCCTCAGATGGTGGCCAAATACATCCGTTACTATTTATAGCAATCCTTGCATCATATGTGGAAAGATGCACTCATTCCGTGTTTTGTTTTGCAATCAGACTCGTCTCATTCACAGTTTTCATGCATGTAAACAGCATCGCAGCAAACTGGCGGCATGCGCCCACACAGAACTCAGAGATATGGTATCCAAATAAAAGTTCACTTCCACAGGCTATGGCGACTCAGCGCCCAACAACTCACTGTTCACACACACCAGATCACCCTGGATATCCCACACGCGACACGCTGAACACTGACACACGCACACACCCTNCGACTCAGCGCCCAACAACTCACTGTTCACACACACCAGATCACCCTGGATATCCCACACGCGACACGCTGAACACTGACACACGCACACACCCTCTCTGCACTCCACCTACAGCTATGGCGGCTATGGYCGCCACTAACCTATCGCTATGCTAACCCTTCTTGCCCACTTCGACTTCGGGCTGCTGCAGACCTCCTTGCACAAGCCGCTGAGACAGCGCTTCCGCATCGCTTCCGCAGGAATGAATGGATGGCTGTGTGCGGCCTCTTGATTTATACTTCTGTGACCCGTCGGTCTGCCCTTTTTCCCTGGCCCACGGTGCACACAGTCCCAGGCGGTACTTGCTTGACTGGACCGGACTGACTGGACTGGGAATGCTGACTCCGCACAGTGGACTTCCACCATTTGCCCACTTGCCTCAGCCTAAACATGGGCAACCTCGAAAGGCCACCACCGGGCCCTTCTAGAAGGCCGTGGACTTGGCCTTTCGGTCTTGTCGCAGCTACGACCTTGACTCTTCAGGACTGGACTAGCTACGACCTTGACCTTTCGGAAAGGCTGTGGCTACGATGTCTAGACCTGACTAAGACTCCTAACCGACAGGTCTACAGATCAAACCCATACTACCTACGGACCCTACGACGACCTATCAGCAGTTATAGATACACAGGTCGCGGGATCGAGCCTTGGGATCTGCATCGGCTACTGCAAACTGGTGAATACCGTTTCACTCCCGCCGGCCTAAATTCGAGGTCCTCTGAGAATATTTCAGTCCAAGGCACGAGCTTTACCCTTTCTATCTCTTTCGTAGGCCCTAACTATGTCGGGAGCTGTTTCTAGAAGTTCGGTCCTTGTGAACCAGCGGTCGTCCTCTGGTTCCTGGTATGCAAACCTGACTTTATATTGTTTCTGAGGACGGCCTCTACCTCCTGTTCTGAATACGTCTTTATCTACAGTGCCGTCAATGTCGTACCTCCCATCCATGTCTGGAGGGATCATGGACCGTCTAGATGGGAACTGGTCACTTACGGTGCACGGTAACAACTTTGAGGCATGGAAAACTGGGTAGGTGTGGAGGTGTGCTGGAATCTCTATCTTGTAGGACGGACCATCCTCTCCGCCCTTGACCTCTAGAACTGGCCACGGTCCTCTATACGCGCGCAGTAACTTTTGCGAGATGTTCTCCTCAGGAGCAAACTCTTTAGCCTTGACCCAAACTAAGTCGCCTACTTGGAACTGTGAGGGGCGACGATGTTTGTTGGCTTGTTCTATCATTCTATGCTGGGCCTTCCGGAGGTTCTCTACAACAGTAGCTAGTTCCTTCGTGGTGTATAGCGAACTCCCTAGTACCGGGCGGTAGCCTATGAATCTGATCCCGGTTAAGTCCTTCAAACGGTCTGCGCGGTCTAAAGGACTTGTGCAGTTCGTTGGGAGTGCGGCATGTAGACAAATGTACGCTATTGTTGTAGGCACTGGCTACCTTGGGGAGCATCTCGTCCCAGTCAACTTGATCTGGTCTAATGTACATCCTCAGAACTTGCTGCAGGATCTTATTCATCTGTTTAGTCTGACCGTTGGTCTCTGGATGACGGCCAAACGACATTAGCAACTTAGAGCCAAAGACTCTCATCAACTCCTGCCAGTTCTGACTCGTGAACCGGGTGTCTCTATCACTAACTATGGGCAATGGGACCCCGTGCTCACTGACCCAATGATCAAAGAAATTACGGATCACTAACTTCGTCCGTGCCTCTGAAGGCAAAGGTATAAAAACAGCATACTTGCTAAATCCATCGACTATCACCATGACTTGGCTCTTGCCATGCCTACTCTTTACGCCAACGTCCATGAAGTCGATGGACACCGAATCTCCTGGCTGATCGGGAATAGGCAAGGGTCTGAGAAGACCGAGTGGGGCACTCATAGTAATCTTATTTCTCTGGCAAACTTTGCAACTGCGAACATATTCTATGCAATCATTTTTCGTCCCTGGCCAGGTATACGCATGCATGAGGTTGGCTAGAGTCTTTTGCCAACCAAAGTGTCCTTCTGTGTCGTGGCATTCCCCTAAGATCAAACTACGGATCTCCTCACTATTGGGAACGCACAAACCGTCAACTACGTTAGTCTTCTCAAATAACAGTCCGTCGGTAGTGCGGTAATCGGGCTCGGTTTCTGGGGCCTCCTTTACTCTCTTGAGGAGGTCACTATAGATAGGGTCCTGCGCATACGCCTCTTTAACCCTTTCCTGCAGGTCTCTCCCTATGTCCAGATAGTGAACTATTGCTCCAAAGTAGTCAGCTCTCCTAAGCGTTCGCAACTACATTATATTTCCCCTTGACTGGCTTGAGCTCCAAATCATACTGGTCTATTTTTGCGGCCCACCTAGTGAGCTTAGGTGTCATCTTGGCCTGTGTCTTTAACCATCTTAACATCTCGTGGTCGGAATAGACTTTGAAGTGCCTCCCAAGCAAGTAGTGATTCCAATGTTCTAACGCTTGCCTGAGAGCGTAGAGTTCCCTCTCATAGGTAGATGTCGCAACCTTCTCTGAAGGCATTCTAGCAGACATGAACTCTACGGGCCTATAACCATTGCCATCGTCTTGCTGCAGAACAACACCTATGCCGTACTGACTGGCGTCCGTAGTGACGACAAAGGGCAAGGACAGATCGACCACCTTAAGGACTGGATACTCTATCAGTGCCTGCTTCAACTTCTTCATTGCAGACGTGCAGTCCTTATCCCACTTCCAGATGGTTTCTTTCCTTAGCAACCTGCGAAGGGGCGCAGCGATAGTGGAGAAGTTCCTTACGAACTTCCTATAATAGTTCGCTAGGTCTAAGAATGACCGCAACTCTGTCAACGTACGCGGTGTAGGCCAATCCCTGATTGCTGCAATCTTACTATCCTCTGGCTTGATGCCGTCTCCGTCTAAGACGTGGCCCAAATACAAAACTTGGGTTTTTGCCCATTCGCTCTTCTTTGCATTGATCTTGAAGTTAGCTTCTCTCAGCTTCTCCAAGACCTGCCTGAGATGACCCTGATGCTCTTGGAGGGTCTTACTAAATACTAAGATATCATCCAGCTAAACTACAACAAACCTATCTAACCAAGGCCTAAACAGGTCATTCATGCATCGCTGAAAAGTCATTGGCGCGTTGGTTGGTCCAAAGGGCATCACGATGAACTCGTAGTGCCCATACCTAGTCCGAAAAGTTGTCTTGTACTGATCATAAGGATGAACCTCTATCTGATGATATCCTGACTTCAAATCTATCTTCGAAAAATATCTGCACCCCTGCACTCGATCCAGAAGATCATCTATCCTAGGCATTGGTTCAACATTCTTTACTGTGATAGCATTCAGACCCCTATAGTCTATGCACATTATAAGCTTTCCTTCCTTCTTGGGGACAAACAGAACAAGTGCTCCAAATGGAGACGAATTGGGCCTAATCCAACCCTTCTCTAGGAGCTCGTCTAGTTGCTTGCGCAGCTCCTCTAACTCCCGCGGAGACATCCTATACATTGCTCCTTTGGGGGTCCTACTGCCAGGCTCAATCTCAATGCGGTGCTGGATAGGCCGCGGTACTACTCCTGTCGGCAACTTCGCCAGGTCTGTGAACTCTTCCAGCAGTTTAGCAATAGCAGGGTCTATAGGTTTCTCTTCCTTAGGCTCGATGACTGGCCTAACATAGGCTACAAAAACCTGTTCCTCTAGCTGCTCCTTTTTCACTAATCCTGCGAACGCAGGAGCGCTAAGGCAGCAATGCGCCAGGGAGTTATCTACTCCTGAGGCATGGAACAGACAGGCGGTCTTGACACCGCCTGATGGACTAGGGAGCCTACACTCCTGCTCTCTCAAGTGGAGTGTAGCCCTTGCTGCCTCTCCCCAGTCCATACCTAGGACTATGTCAAACGGGAGGCTATCCTCTACGAGGACAGTCAGGGAATGGAGAACTTTCTCCACCTTCCCATCCTTTTCTAGGCGGAAATACGCATGGACTCCCTCTACGTACTCCTCTACTCGCATGGTGCGATTGTCCGCGAGGATACTTACTATGGGGTCTGCTAGTCTTTAGACTTTTAACTGCAATTTCAGCTTCTGCAGCGCCTTCCTACTGATATAACTACGAGTGGCTCCGCTATCCACTAAGGCGCCAACTCGACCTTTAAAAATCTCTTTATCTACTAATATGAGCTGCCCCCGATTTTCTTTCCTCATTTTGGCCCAGGCGGGCATTCTCTCCTTCAATTCCCCTGCCACGCCTGTGCGCGAAGTGCCTACAGAGACTCTAACACACGCAGTCTCTGGGCAGCTATCTAGGCACCGGCCGGCAACTTCTGCCATGGGCTCATGTGGTTTGGGAGATTCATGTCGGCTTGCTGACTCATCTCCACATGGCCCTATGGTAGAGGCAGTTGCTACCCCTACCGGCGGCTGCCTTTTGCCTCCTGTGCGGCCGAATGAGCCTCTCTATACTTCGGACAGTATTTAATGATGTGGCCAGTGTCACCGCAGTAGATGCACTGCCCCTGGTTCACACGCTGCTGCCATAAGCACTGGTCCAGGCCCAGATCTTCCCAAGGCCAGCCTTGTGGCAGCTCCACCTCTCCTATAAGGGGACCTATTCCCAGACCGGTTTTGCGGGGGACCTTGACCCCTTCCTCCCGCTTGGCGGTTTCCTCCTCTGCCGCCAACCCCCTGATCGCCCTGGGAACGGTTCCCGGAGGCCCGGCCCCCTTGGCCCTGGCCTCGTCCTCCCCTTGCGGCCTCCCTCCAGCCGAGACAGCAGCGTAGGTCCTCCCCTGACTACTGCTATTGTCATCTTCGTCGAGACGCCACTCTATCTGGTCGTAGGGACTTCGTCGACACAACCCTCATCTAAGGTAAGGATCAAACGATCCTTAGTCTTAACCTGCTCAATGCGTCGTAGGTCATGGTGGGTTGCTGGCTCTTCTCAAAGAAGTGCCCACGCAACGACTCAGGCATAGCCCGGTAGAAGAGGTTGACCAGTTGGGTCTCTGTGACCCCACAAGGTCAGGAACAGCCACTAACTCGTCCATTACTCCCTTGAGTGCCTTGGCGCTCCTCCACTGACGAGAGTGGATAGTCTGCAATCGATCAGAGGCTCTGACACTGCGCGAGACATCTGCAAATCGTTCGCGCAGCAACTTAAGAAAGTCAGCGAGGGGGGTGAAGGCAGAGTAGGCAACCACATCGTCGCTGCAATTAGCAGCGCGGACTAAGGAGCGTGGAAAACTGGCGGCTTCTTCCTTTGACACATGGATGGCGATTAGGACCTGCTCATCGGGGGACACCTTCTACAGGTGCACGTACGTTTTAACGTTGGCCTCCCAATTGTCAAAGTTCTCTTCCTTCTTTCCACTGCAGGAATCAGGAAACTTAACTTTGACCGGCTCTCTACGGGGGCGTGCTTCTTCTTCCTTTGGGGCAGTCAGCTTGGCGCCCTCAATGGCACCAGCAAAGTATCGTTCAGTGCCCTCGAGGCGGGCTGTCACATGCGAGCCCACCTGCATTGCCAACTCCCGAGCAAAGTCTCCAAGTCCCGACCGTATCGAACGCACGACAATGTCCTAACCTCTCCCAAATAAAAGCTGCTCCTCCTGGACCTTTGCCAAGCGTTCCACGTTCTTGGTCAGGATCTCTACCTTCCCCAGTAAATCTACTTGGACCGCCATCTGATCCCTTTGCTTCCTAATCTCTTCCAACTCTTTCGCCGCCTCTGTTGCCGCCTCCATTCTTCTCTTCCTCTCCCTAGTGAGGCGAAACTTCCACTCCATCCTCTTCTCATCTTCTAGCACTTGCCGCTTGAGTGGGTCTCCTTCAGCTTCCCACTCTCGCACGGCCGCCTCCTGCTCATCCCTGGGCACATACATTAACGCCTCCTCATCCTCTCCCAGGGTCAGCCCTGCGACCCACTCTGAAATTTTATTCTCCATCAAGTCTTCGTTGGGTCCACTAGACTCCCCTCTGTTTCCTCTTCCTCTCCTCTCCAGTGGTTCCTCTTCTACTACTCCTTCCTCTTCCACTTCCTTTAACTTCGCTTCTTCTTCTTTCTTCAGCCTCTCCTTCTCTCTAGCCATCTCCTCCTCTATCTTTTTCAACTTCGCCGCGTGCACCTCCAGCAAGGCCTTCTTCTTGGCCTCCTTCTCTCTCCTCTCTTTGAGGATGGCGGCGGCCTTTGCTTCCTGCTCGGCCGTGTAGGGCGAGGTACTCGTCCCCGTATGTGTGAATACGCTACACGAAAACGTATTCCACAATCCGAATGGGAAAATGAAACGCCAAAGGGTCCCCCAAAGGGAGAACCCCACGAGCAACCCGTACATAGGGTAATCATCCATGGTGATAGGTGCACGACAGGACAGTCCCACTCCTCACCACGTAGACCTACCCGCAAAACTCACTGACAGACTCTCTAAGGACCACAGGGTTCGTATAGAACCCTGTCAACTATGGTCGCTAGCCTAGACCTACTCTAAGGCTGTCACTACTAGACCTGTTGCTGATCAAGAGGCATTTACGGAGATCCCCTGTAACTCCTCAAGAATTCTTTAACGTCGCAGACAGGACGACGTGATCAGCTTGGTCTTGCCTGTTGCACAGCCCGCAACTCAGCCTTTCAAGCCTACCATGCCACACCGAGCAGCCCGCCGGTCTGTACCGGTCCTTGGGAGGGTTCGTGTCCTCCGGGACAGTCGAGTCGTCAGACACAGTCTTTAGCCTTACTTGGTCCGGTAGGGGTTTGGGTCAACAAGGCCCTCAACACTTAAGACTGCCTGGTGTGTCAGCCCACAACTCCGCCGTTCAAGCCCACCGTGTCACACCCAATCCAAGCCCCGCCGGTCAGCACCGGTCCTTGGGAGGGTTCGGCCTCCGGGACAGTGAGATTAGACACGGTATTAGCTCTACAAGGTCAGGTAGGGGTTTCGTCATCCAGGCCATATCCTTCATCCACAGAGTACTATCACTTAGGACAGAAGAGACCCAATGCAGAAAGAAGAGACAGACAGACTCAGACTCAGCAAGTACCGCAGGGTGAGTGCACATCCATAGGGCGAGGGGATAGGCTAAGGGCTTGGCGCGATGTTACCAACTCCAGCTTGGTCCAAGTCTTGGTCAACAGCTCCGGTCAACGCCTTGGTCAATGCTGAGTCAACGCAGGCAACCCTCGATCAACGCCCCAATCAACCCCCCAATCAACGTCCGATCAACCCTCTAATCAACGCTTGGTCAACCCTCCGGTCAGCTATGGCTGCCGACTCCTCTCTCACCAGCCTTCACTCTCTTTCTCCCCTTAGTCACCCTTCTTCTTCCTCACTGTTTCTCTTTTTTTTTTTTTTTTTTTTTTTTTTTTTTCACCCTCGGCTATGTCTGCCTTCCACCTCAATGTCCCCTCCTTCCTCCTCCTCAACTTCCTCTCCCTTCGTCCCCTCCGTATCCGAGCTCCGCGGCTATGGCCGCACTGTTCTTCTCCACGGGACTGCACAACACTTCACAGGTACGTAGTAACCAATCTTGTATCGCTCATCCCTCTCTCTCTCTCTCTCTCTCTCTCTCTCTCTCTCTCTCTCTCTCTCTCTCTCTC